ATGGGTTGATGACTCGGGCGACGTGGTTGCGTGAATGTGAGTGAGTAAGCGGTTGTCGCGTGCCGTTTGTTCTGGCGAGGGCTCGTTGCGGGAGGGAAACGAATGGAGTGCAGCGCACGCGTGCCTTCAAGACAGGAACCTGCGTTGCAGAAACGAGAGAATAAGAAGAGAAAAAGGAATAATCAGCAAGAATAGAAAATCAACGTCCGGGTTGCGCGAGTCGTAAAGAGGCGACAAAGCGCAGATGCTGCGCCAGCCGACGATGTCGTTGCAGAACCAAGTGGTGTGGAAGAGGGATCTGGAGTGCGAAAAGAGGAGGGCGGCACCATGATAGGGAAACGGGACCCAGTGTCAAAGAGGCCAAAGGCCTACGCGAGCCCGGCCAACAGCACAATGGGACAGAGGCCAGACGGAAAGTGACGAGAGGACAGACGAGGGCATGGAGTGAAGGAGGTGGGGGTTAGCAGGGGTGGAAGGAGCGCAAGAACAGGGGCAAGGGCAATGGCAGTGGCAGTGGCAGTGACTGCAGTTCAGGGCAGGTGCAAGTCGCCCTGGATCTGGACCTTGACCTCCTTGCGGACCTGGACCCGACATGCTGGGGAAGGAGCCACCTGGAAGCCAAGAAGAAATGAGGTCCGAGAGGAGGCTCCATGGGGGGTGCGCCTCCCATCTCAATCGATAGTGTTGCGCTCAGAAGCCACGTCGTTGCACTATTGCGACTACGGTGCTCCAAGATACCTTCCAACTTCTCATGACAAAGACAGATCGAGTGAGACCCTGCGTTCGCCCGTCAGTGCACCGGACTGGCTCAATTTCACGTTGCATTGCCTCGTGTGGACTTGGGGCGATGACTGGCAGAAAGAAGACGCATCGTGAAAGAAAGGCAGGTGAAGTCAGGTTCGCAGCGACCCATCTGCTACTGAGCCTTTTCCCCCTGAAAAGAGGGTCCTGAAGTCGGTTTAACGGAGAATGAGCGAATCCGAGCGGGACCTCGCTCAAGCCCAAACACTAGCGCTAGCACCTGCAGCCGGGACCCATGCTCGTCATTCTCATTCTTGTCTTCCAGGGCCAACGGTCGTGCGAGACTTGGCCGAAATGTTCCTGTCGATCTTTGCCATCCACATGCAGGCCAAGGCGCCACTCATCCTTACCACCTGCTCAGCATTCGAGGAGAATGGACCGCTGAAGGCCTGTCCGTCTGCCATCTGTATCACATACTGAAGCAACCATCCAATGCCTCTGCGTACGCCGCGTCCGTTTCTTCTCGCATGCCTGTCTGTCACTCTACCTTATTTAGAGGGCCGAGCTGTCATAGTGTACATT